CTCAAGAGTCAATTCTTTAAAGAAGGTATCCGAATGTGTGAGTTTTCTCAAAGAAATATGGTGAAAAAGTGTGCTGAAAGTGTAGTTTTTACGCGCTAAAAAATTCATAACTTGAAGATCGTGGCTTGTTTTGAACCCGTTCCGATGGCCAAAATTCCGTCTTGACGTTATCTACGTTTTCATCTCTCACGGCTGGAAGCCAATTTCGATCAGAATGTCTTCAAAAATGTGGATTTATCAAGTATTTTCGTACAGAAAATTTGTGATAGAAGTTTATTTGCGTCATGTTCAGAAAATCATAACTTGGTCGATTTTCATTATATCGAGCTGTTTCTGGTGCCAAAATTTCACAAATTGAGTTGGCTAAGTTTTCACAGAAGGTATTGAGTTCAAACGGTATCCAAAAGGCCTTCGTTTTTTGCTCAGAGTACGCGTGACGCGCCGAAAATCCTGAATGCTAATATTATTATACCTGGGTCAAAACTTCGAAAATTCATAACTCGGTCAATTTTTATCGGATTGGGCTCATATTTTTACACAAGGTCACTGACTCAGAGATCTACAACTTTTCTTCAAAAGTCGAGACCGAATTATGCTCCGATCAATACCAGTTTTTTATTGAAGAACGTGTCAGAGTCGACACTGGAGCCCAAAATAAGTTTGTCTGAGCTGAAACTTCAAAAATTTATAACTAATTCATCGTTTATCCGATTGAGCCGATTTTCGTACAGGAGTTAGTTCTCGATGTCGGCTATATTTTGTTTTCACATTTCAACTTCAAAAATTGCACTTAAGCCCCTGCGATTTAGCCTGCAACGTGACGAATTCAAGTGAACATTGGAGGCCCAATTGCACACTCAAAGCCCATTTTCTTTGCTCTACTTTCCATTATATAATCTCATTCTTTTCACACAAACAGGAAAGAGAAAAAAAAGCTTTTGCCACAACCCTGTCAAAATATCAAATTCTTTCAAGAACCCTAAAACCTTGAAATCCTTATTACAAATTCCCATCTCACTACAAATAAGCCATTCCTCTTACAAACCAACATCTCACTACTTCTCCAGTAAGGGTAAGACTGGATTGATCTCCAAGATCAAAAGGGCATAAATGCATTCATATCACTACTTCTCCAGTAAGAGTAAGGCTGATTTGATCTCCATGATCAAAAAGGTATAATCATTCATACATGCCTTATCGATTTTAACATTAAATTTTTTCATATATTGGCTTTATTTGTATTTCATAATATATAGTAATTTATTTAATGTGTTCATGAGATTCAACATGCAGATTTAGACAGGATCCCATGCAGGTTCATTACCAAACATTGAGGCCAAAACACAAATGGCCAAAATAGGACAGCTTACACATGACACCAATACATGGCGAGGCAGACATCCTGAGAAGGTTAAGGGCGTGGGTTTAACAACCACCCCTATTGGTTTTGATTTTCTACCTTTCTATTTATCTATTTACCGATTTTTATTCTTTCTGTTTAAAATCTTTTTTCATAAAATTTAACATTTTTCACAAACCTTTGATTTTTTGTAATAAACTCGAATAATTAATTTTAGGTTTTAATTTAATTTTAGGTAACTTTAATTGTTTTGTAAATAAATTAAAATTAATTAGAACAATTAGGATTTTGTTACTAACTTAATTATATTTTATTTTTTCCTAAAATAACAAAAAAAAACAAAAATAGGTCATTTAATTATTTTTGTGGTCTAATTACTAATTAATTTTCATATTTAATTTAGAAAAACTTAATTCTTTTCTTTAAAAAATATTAAAAACAACAAAAAAAACATTTTTTTTCTTTTAATTAGGTTAGAAGGGTCAAAACCCTAGTTTCTCGTCGATCTAATTCTCATCGCGCGCTTTATTATTATTTTTATCCAATTATTGTATCTGCTCACAGTTTGTAATAGTTTTAATTAGGACTCTTACTTTTCATTATCGCTTTATTTTCAAAGGGTTTGTTTTTGCTATATAAATACCCGAAGCCTTGTAATAGCTTAGTTTAATTTCCGCAATTTAAATTTCGCAAATTATTAACTGTTAGATGTATGATAATAGGATGCATGACAAGAATGTATGATTAAATTTAAAACAGTTAGATCACCCTAAATGTGCAAAGATAAATCAACTGAAATTGAATCATTCGCACATGCGCACTCCTAGGGTACACTCCCACTTGGTTGCCTTTGGTAAACGGTCATTGAGTATAAGATGCTTTAGTGGTCGTCCTCTTGTCTAAAAGATCATAGTCGCCTCGAAACGGTTGCCTCGGATATTGTTGCCTCAAACAAATGATCTAAGACATTAGGGTTACCGCTAAGACGTCTTAACATTGCTTTGGTGACCGTATGTTCCTCATTCGAATTAACCCTCAAACTCCAACGACGGTGCTACCTACTCATTAATAGTGGGATAGCATTGTCTAAAGGAAATAAGCATAGAACGATTCTTTTTTCGAGTAGGTAGATTAGTTCTTAGATACTTGCTCATCCAAAACAAAACTTTTTTCACACTTACACTCCTTTACAAACAAGTTTTCAAAAACACTTCATTACACTCTTGAAGACAGACGCAAGAGTTAAATCGAAGTTAAAACAAAAACTTTTCAAAACCCACAAGCACAAAGAAAACAATTTTGAAAACAATGAGCAAGTACCTAAGAGCCCGTAGATAACTACGGATAGAAAGGGTGTTAATACCTTCCATTTCTATAATCTACCCCCCGTACTCAGAAATACCTCGAAAAAGGAATTTTTCTGTGCTTTTTTCCTTTCCTTGTTGGATAAAATAAAAGTCGGTGGCGACTCTTGCTTACCGCGACATTTTGCAAAAACAAACGCAAAATGCAAACCAGCATTCCCAAAAATAGTCAGTTCTTCCCACCGTATCACAGTAGAGATATCTTAGCAAAGACCCGCAATTCAAAATCGTCATAAAGATCATGGTCCCTTACTGTCCCTCGAGTTGCCTACGAGAAATGAGCTTATGATGATAGTCCCTTTGAAATGCTAAGGTATCCTTACATGTTCCCTTCAGTGACCATTTCGTCCTTTCGAATGTCCCTTAAAACTCCAACGATGGGGTTACCTACTTCTTAATAGTAGGGTAGTGTTGTCTAAAGGAAACGAGAAAACGAACAGCCTTTTTCGAGTAGGTAGAGATCTTAAGTACTTTCTCCAAACAAAACAAATCTTTTACACAAACACTTTCAAAATAGTTTTCAAAAACAACTTCGTCACACTCTTGAGGACAAATACAAGAGTTACCACGAAGTTGAGAAAAAAAATTTCAAACACACACACAAGCAATTTCAAAATGATCAAGTACCTAAGAGCCCGTGGAAAACCACTGATAGAAAGGGTGCTAACATCTTCCCTTTCTATAATCTATCCCCCGTACTCATAAACATCTCGAAAAAGGTTTTTTTTTCTGTTCTTTTCCCTTTTCCTTTGTTGGATGAAATAAAAGTCAGTGGCGACTCTTGCTTACCGCGACATTTGCAAATACGAAACGCAAAAAAGTATTAACAGTCGGTTCTGCCACCGTATCACAATCTTCATGATAGCTTCACCAATCAAGGAAAAGAGTCAGAAATCAAATGCTCGAAATAAGTGTCGAGGCATCATCGATGCGAAAATAAATCACAACCAAAATCTCGAGCATATTCGCATATGGCACAATAAACATGCATAAGACTTATATCTCAATAAGCAATGGCGTATCATAACTATCGAATAATCAGATAACCACAATTTAGTTCAAAGTAAAAGTCTAACCAACTTTTGTTGATTTTGTTATTTTTCATGTGAAGAAAAGGTCCAAACAAGTTGAAATGACTAACAAAAATCAATAATAAAAAGAATTTCAAATATAAAAGAAGGCTCAAGGGGGTGTAAGTTTACAAATGAGAATGTATCAAATTGACAAAACGATATAAAAGTCTAAAAAAACAGCAATTCAGCTCAATCGAAATTAATTAAACAATTAATTAAATTGAACCATTTTATTATATACCATTAATTAAAAAAATAGTTAATGATATCAAGCAATATTTTTCAATCTAATTAATTAATTTTTTAAAAAAAAGGGTATATATTTTTTATTATTATTATTTTTTATTATTATTTGCTAAGAAAAATACTAAAGCAAACAATACAAAAAAAGAAATATAAAGAAATAAATGGAATGGGCATGAAGTCAGTAGTTTTTGGAGGTGCAGAAAATAAAGAGAAAGTCCAGGGCCAAAGAAGGGATCCCTTGGATCCGGTGTGGGGAATCCTGGAGGGAGCACGCTGGAGATGCGCGCGCTGGAGCGTTAGATTATGATCTAAGAGATGAGAGTGGTGAGGGTGCACAGTAAGCGATGAATGCTGCACATAGGATCTTGGATAATCCCTTGAGATCTAGTGTTTCTCCTTCAAGGAGGTTCACCATAGTACTTCACGCACTTTTAAAGCGTTTAATGATCACGATAAAGATCTGAAGGTAACGAGATGAGAGAGCATGGTTGTCCACGGTAAGGTATCTACACGATATTAGAAAATAGCCACAACGGTGGTGACAAGTGTCACCACCGAATTAGTGATTCTAATTAACACTAATTAATCCACAAGATAGTAATATTAAGATGAATTTTTAACAAAAATAGAAAATGATTAATCTCTAATCTATTTTCTCCTTTGCTCAGACTCTCGTTCTCTTTTGTCCAGTGCTCGCCAAAAATTTCCTCCAGCGAAGACAACGGAAACGGACGACGACTTCGTTCCAATCTCAAATTTTCCTACATCAATGTCTTTGTTTTTCGCTTCCGATCGCTAATCTATGACTTGTTTTGGCAGAAAATACCTAGATCTGAGTAGATCTTGAAGGGGAGATCGAAACCCTAAGCGCTCTGATTGCAATCTCGATGATGATGATGATGATGATGATGATGATGATGACTGATTATTGGTGATGAATCGTCGCTAATTTATGCGTTATGAAGATTTTGGAAGCAGTGAGGGTGCCTCTCGGAAAAACCGGTCAACTTCAAATAGCGGTGGAAGGCGATCTGCAATCGCAACCTTCCTGGTGAGATCTTTCTGGTTCTGTTTTTCACCTTTTTCGATTAGGAAACTTCTTTCTCTTTTGACTCTCTGAAGGTTTAGTGTATAGGGAAAATGATGATGAGATTTTTGTCTAGGGTTTTTGGTTTTTGCTTGATGACTCACTAGCTTCTGTGTTTGCTTGATCATTTTCTATGATAATTTCTCAGATTTTGTCTAGAATTTTATTGTGAAAATGATGAGAACGAATCCTAAAGTTTTAGAAAGCAGACAAAATTTTTCTGTGACTCTTCCAATGATTGGAGAATGAGGATGAACCGTGTGAAATTCTGTTATATATTTCTCTAAAAGTTTGTTAAAGATTGATGAGTTACAACCCTTGGATCTGAATTTTGTTAGAGATTTGGATGGCTAGATTTGAATCTTAAAATGAAGCTTGGTTGGCAAGTTTGTTGAATTGTTAATTCTGACATTTGTGGAAATTTGTTATTGCCGTAACTTGTTTTTGGTGAGAAGTGTGAATCTTTTTCAGATTTATTATACTTGTGGTTTGCATCTGTTGCGATTCTGACTTTGTTTTTCTGAATACTGAGTTCTGAACTTTTTCTATTTGCACCTCCCTTTGTGAACCAAAACTAACCTTTTGTGATTTTAAATAGGAGAGTAAGCCCATGATTAAATTATTGTAATTCTTATTTTTGTTTTGAAACAAATGGATATGAGGCTTTATTGTTGGATTTGTGATGCTTCGGGCCTTTGTTGAGTTTACAATCTATACCTCTTATTGTGAACCAAAATTCTTTTGATGATTTGCAATAGGAGATAAGGCCTATGATTGAACTTTGAATTTTGATTTGCTATGTGAAATCAATGTATGAGGCTTTTAGCACATGATAAAATTCCCTAAATAAACTGATTTCTTGTACGAACCCTAATGAGGAAGAAAAAAAAACTTGCTTGAAATCTTTGTTCATGTTTGGAATTTTTACTCAAATATTGATGATTTGCTAACCGTTCCTCTTTTCTTTGTTTCATGAGCAAATGGTGGTGACGATTAGCAAGGGAGAAATTGTAGCATGGATTGGAGGAGTTTTAGAGGGAAACATGAAGTTCGAAACTCGAAGATCTCATTAGCAATCTTAGGAGTTCCATTTGAACACGTGTTGTAAGAAAATTAGGACTTGCGACTTAGAAGGCTTAAGAATTTGAATCATGTTTGTAAAACAAGCTTTGGAGAAGTTATGTATTTGAAAGAAGAAAAAAACTTCTTTGCAACATCTTGTAACCTTGTGTGAATTTTGTAGAATTGAATGATCTTTTGATTAAACCTAAGAATGATGCAAAATGCTTGTTGTAAAACTTGTAAAAGTCTTGAATAGATTTGCAATGGAATTTTGATGATAATATGGATCTTTGAAACTTTGAATGGATTGGAAACACGAGGTAGTAACCTTGAAATGGTATGATGAATTCTATAAGCTATGAACTCCAAGAAACTCCACGCAATAAATCTTAGCATTGCTCACTCTTAAGTTAACGGACTTGGATCCTACACAAACTACATGCCTTGAGTTCCTTGGAATATTTTTGATGTCCAAAACATGTACCCAAAAAAACTCATAACCAAAGAGCATGGAAGAATATATTCAACATAAACCATACTTGATCAATGACCCTTAACCTCAACATAATCCATTAACCCAAATATTCTCACATTTGAAGTACCAAAGATCTCATTTAACAAATGAAAACTTGATTAGACCTTAATCCATAGCTCAATCCGTAAGGATATCCTTAAGAATAAAGATAAACCTTAAAGGATAGATAAATCCTGACACGAAACACTAGACAGACTCTTATTGATGAATCAATAATCTCATTCGCCACAGATGAGAAACCTGATCCACTTAGCGCTATAAACCAAAGTTTTTAAAGAACTAGCTGATTCAAGCTTGAGTCAAGATGAGAGCCACCAAAGCCATAGAAACCCTAATTCTCTGAGAACTACAGAGAAATATGCTCGACTCAAGACTTTAGTGACTTTTGGAGAAGAAAAGCCCTAAGCTTGATGAGAAGAGAACTCCAGGACTAAAACCTTAATCATTGTTGATCTTGTGAACCAAGTTGTCTTATAAAAATGAAATAATACTCATGATGCCAATGATTTAAGAATTCTGATAGGAGAAACTTCACATACTTCATTGATCAAACCCTTGCACAAAAGCCAAAGGATGGGAGAAAATGTGATTCACTGCCAAACCTTTGTCATTTTCAATTCTCTGATAAAACAAAGAATCAAATTGAGACAACACGACGCCTGGGAAACCTCAATAGCTTGAACCAATAGAAGAATGGGGATATGAGATCCATCTTGGACTGGTTGCCAATATGACCAAATTCCAAAGCGTGAAGAAAACCAAGAAGATAAGAATACCTTGATCCCATCTCCAATGCATGAATATATATGATGAAACATAAGCCATAAAAAAATTCTTAAAGAAGAGGCACTACAGCCAAAAATACATAATATATCTCATAACAAGCACAACAAATGCCAAGCTCAAGATTGAAGCAACAAAAAATAAACAAGAAAAAACTACCAGCTAAAGGCTGAAGCAGCACAAAAGAGAATTAAAAAACACTACTATATCACCATAAAACACACAGAACAACTAGCACCAGGAAAAGCTAGAGCTCCCCAATTCTAGAACACCTATAGAGCTAAGAAACCATAAAAGACAAAACAAGAACACATTCAATAGAGGTTGAAACAACTCATCTCTTTATCTGCTAAGAAACCAGATATGACTCTCATGTTAGGTCGAGAAGATACAAGAGTTATCTACGAACCTACCAAGATACCATTTCTAAGCCAAATAAATGCTCATGTCTTCCACATATTTAGGTGTCACCGAAGATCCAAAAGTAACTTTACCATTCTAGGTTTTCCAAATAAACCAGACTATGACATTAACACTCAATAGAAGGGGTGAAAACACTAATTACACATTGGAGCTCGCTAAAAAGTGGAGTCTCGTAATCAAAGAGAAAAGGCCTTCTCCACTTGAGGTCCCAGATCTAAATTTCCCTCTCTCATCTATCAACCTCTCCAATAGACTTAGACATTTGATCTAAAATGAGGAAAAGTCTAGGGAATATAATATAAATGGGAGAGTCCCTAACCAATATATCCTCCCAAAAAGAGGTAACGAGAATAGAACCAATCCATGAACACTCCTCAACATCAAGAATGGATACTTTCAAGGAGAGACCATCCTTGAACCAATCAGTATTATCAAAATCTCTAAAACAAAGAATGGAAACCCCTCTCCATCAAAGAGAGGTCGATCGAAGATGTCCGACTCTCCCACCCATAATGGAATTCCTAGGAGCTACTCCATACCTGGCTATGAGAACATTGCGCTAGATTCCAGAAGCCCCTGAAAGTCGAAACCAACTCAACTTACCTAAGAGGGCTAGGTTCACTAATTGGAGGTCACGAACACCTAGGCCCCCTAACTCCTTAGGCTTAGAAACATCCACCCACTTAACACAGGTAATATTGGACTTCCTTTTCACTCCCACCTAAAGAAACCTCCTTTGAAGCTTTATTATCTTCTTCCAAACCTTGACAAGCATCTTTAAAATAGATATGAAAAAGATAGGAATGTCATTAAGAACATAATTAAGGAGGATTACTCTTCTACCCAGGGAGACATACATATGCTTCCAAGATAGAAGCCGCCTGGATAAAAAAACTAAGTAAGGGTTCCCAAGTAAAAGCTAGGTGGGGATTAGCTCTCACTAGAATCCCAACATACTTAAACAGTAGTGCCTCCTTTTTACAATGGAGAAACTCACAAGCAAGATCTAAAAAATCCTTGTCTGAATTCACACTAATAAGAGCGCTCTTATCAAAATTCACACGAAGGCCTAAGGGAAGCTCAAAACCTCGGAGAATTTCCTTGATGGTCCCAAGATAATCAATAGTAGCATAAACCAAAATAAACGTGTCGTCTGCATACTGAAGATGGGAAACCACCATGTCTGATGATCCAACCCAAATACCTGAAAAAATATGTAACTCTACATCCCTAGAAAACAGACCGCTGAGACCTTCACCTACAAAGAGAAAGAGGAAGAGGGCTAAGGGATCACCTTGCTTCAACCCCCTATGGATATTGATTTCTTGGGTCGGGCTAACATTAACCAGGACCACAAGATTTCCAAAAAACACACACACACTATAATCGAGCTCCTCCACTTATCATTGAACCCAAATACGAAGAGCATATAGTCAAAAAAAGACCAGATAACAGAGTCACGAGCTTTCTAAAAATCTATTTTAAAGAGGAGACATGATTTCTTGCTTCTATTGGCAAGATCAACAAGCTCATTCATAACAACCACCCCATCCACTAAGAGTCTACCTTTGAGGAAGGAAGACTAGTTAGGGGAGATGAGCTTATAAAAACAATAGAGAGCCTTTCAACCAAGACTTTATAAACAATATTATAAAGAGACCCAACCAAGGAGATAGGTCTGAAGTCCCCTAAGAGAGTAAGGGAGTCGAGCTTAGGATTTAAAGTAACAAAGAAGGAAGAAAAGCAAAGATAAAGAGAGAGAGAGAGAGAGAGAGTAGAAAACTGAGGAAACTAATCAAACATCACTCCAAGGTCATCTTTGAGGAGGGGCCTAATCCTTTTGAAGAAGGAAAAGTTGAATCGGTCAGGGCTAGGACTCATGTTACCATCGAAAGGAGCCACCACTTGGTTAATCTCTTTTAAGAGGAAATGCTTAGTAAGGTCAACATTATCCTCTTATTAGATAGACCGAAAAGAAACCTCGTCTAACCGAGGACGATCATTAAAGAGTTATCTAAAGTGGTTTGTAAGGTGATCAACCATAACCTAATGAATCTCATAAACCCCTTCTAGCCAATCCTCTCCCATCTTAAGAGCAAGAATATCATTTCTCCTACTCATACTCTTAATACAAGCATGGAAAAGCTATTATTAGCATCTCACTCTTTGAGCCACTTAGATCTACCCTCTAGAAAATTTGGGAATACTTGGTTTGAAGGAGGAACCAAAGGTCTAGAGAAGGCTTACTCCTTTCCACCAACTGCTCCTCAGTAATAATGCCCTGCTCAACTCTCAAATAAAAAGTTCTTTCTACCTCCATAAGGG